TCCCTTTTCTTCTTTTTTTTTTTTTTTTGTGTGTGTGTTGTGTTTTGTTTCTGAGCTGTGATTTAAGAGGCGGATGACAAAGTGCATCTCTGCACTTAGAGGTTTTCGATCTCTAACGTCCTGTTGTGGTGAGAAGCTGCCTTTGTGCTTGCTTTGGGGTTTTGTTGCGTGGCCTTTGTTAGGAAGGCTGTGGGCAGTGGCCGGGGAATGTATTTTTAGCAGGCTGGCGGAGGGGAAGGCTCTTTCCAAAGCGTGCTCTCAACTGGGAGAGCCTCCGCCAACTCGTGTGGCATGGTGGCTCCTCTYTGAAATGAGTTTTGTCTCCAGCCTAGCTGAGAGATTTGAACAAATCCAGGCATTTTCCATTCCCTTGTAGGTAGCCTCTGGAGGAGGGTAGTTGAGGGCTTTAATTGGAAGGAGCAGGCTGCGGTTCAGAGGAAGGGAGCCTGGCCTTATTGGACCAACCGCATGTCCACCGTAGCTCTGTGCTTGTGCCACGGCGAGATGCAGCTGGATGTGTTGGGAGCACCTGCCATCCACAAGGCTCACGCTAATTGACTCCACGGGGATGCTGATGCCCTTCCCTCCCAGATGGAGGAATTGGCCATCCTGCCTCCTGAAATCGGGTTCTGAGTGGGTTGCATTAGGCTGCCTGTGTCTCTGGAAGCACCTCCTCAGCCCTGAGAAGACATAAATGGAATGTGTCCTGCCTCTATCGCCTGGTCAAGCATAGGGTCATCCCGCTGCTCCCAGCTTGGAGCATCAAGCTCCAAGTTGGAGCTCCCAACTGTGCATCAAGCTTTGTCTTTCTGGACCATCAGTTTTCAGGAATGTGTGAGGCTGAAGTGTGAAGAACCAGCAGTCCAACTTCCTTGCAGAACCCTGGTCTGATGCTGTTCAGAGGAGAGAGAAGACTGGTGTGCACTTCTTCCCTTGTTTCCTTGGAGTGTCAGGCTGCCCATTTTTATCAGGGAGTGGATTTCTCTTTTATTTCTTTTTCCCCTTCCTGCAGACTTGCTCAGTGTCTCAAACTCTTKAAGCATAGACTGTGTTCCTGTAATTAATACCAACCATTAAACTTCAGTGTTGAAAGAGAAATTACCTAATTCCAAGCAAAAATTAAAATTTATTACTAGTACATGAGAGAAAATGAATATGAAACTTAGAGAGAGGAACTCTGTAGAAGATAAATAGAAAGGCAAGTGGAGTATTGACTTGATCCTTTTCTAGTGCAGGGTAATTTGGCTTCTAAAGTGAGTTAGATCATAATAAATTAAATTTAGATTTCTGCACATCAGTTGAATAACTCCCAAGATAGAATTCTAGTGTGAGGAAGAGGTGATAATACATGGTGGAAATATTATAATGAAGACCTTATCCAATAACCCATAACTGATGTGCTGTCCCAGAATGAGTGAAGAGATATTCTCCTTTCATTTTAACTTGCTTTCTCCTTCCTGGATCAGGCACCAAGAAACAGATAAGCCATCTATGTGCAGGTCAGGAATTCTCCTGGCTCTAACACTTGGATAACTGAGAGCTTTTTTAGCCAAGGACATTGTCCTTTCCCTGTAACAGAAGCGCTGTGGCCAGTTAATGCTTAGAATAAGCTTTTGTCCTTGTTTTTGATATCCTTCTCTCTTGATCTCAGATATGAAGTTAGCTACTAGTCTTCAGGAGCCATCCTATTGATTATTTTCCTTGGTGCAAAAAGCGGAGCCTAGGCTTGAGGACGATGTTAATCCACGTGGGCTGAAGTGCTTGAGGCAGAGAAAGATCCTGCTGTACATTATGTGCTGTGGTATGAACCAAAAATGTAATATATGGCTGAAAAGGCAAATGCAGCCCTAGGATGCACCAGAAAAGATGAGCTCAGTGGAGTATGAAAGGCAGAAAAAGGAAGTGGTTGTTTAAGGCATTGGTATTTGTGTGCTTATTCATGTTCTGTGTCCACAAAAAAGGTGCTTATATGGGAGCAGGTGCTGAGGAGGACAGGTGGGGAGTGACAGAGTGGCTGTCTCTGGCRGCTGCTCCCCTGGTTCTGCCCACGTGGCCAGACTTCAGGGTCTAACTCCACAGCTCCCCACCAAGTGCCTTGGTAGCACTTGAAGTGCTGAGACGTGCAAAACATGTGGCTGACCTGGCATGGCCAGCTGATTGCCTTGTCCTGGAAGCACAGCTGGCCAGCACACCACGCAAGCTTGACATTCCCTTTCCTTTATTATATACAGCTGAAGTTTCCTTTGGATGGTTTCAGAAGTTCCCCTTCCAACTTGGATATACTTCCTTTCTAGCCCGCCCAATGATACCAAGTTTAATTTACATTAACGAAAAAAAAATCCAACACCATTCAGTGTTATATGGCCACTTTTAAGAATGATTTGTCTTCATATTAAGTTTGATCCAACAAATTTTATTTTTCTTTGCAGCATTAAAATTTAGGAATTGAAGCACCATGATGGCTGTTCTAGCAGAACTGGGCCCCAAGGGTCATCATGAAATCTTATAAAAGCTGGGACTTCACGCATTCTGAGATGCAATTGGTTGACTTCTCCCTCATCTCTTACAGGGGTGGTAAATCATATTTTACAAGATGCCATAGAAAAACATAAACAGTATTTATCACCCAGCATATTTCAGTCTTCTCGAAAGCCGGCAGGCTGCCTATGTATATCCTTCTGCTCGTAAACCTCCTGATGGACTGCAGTGACCTTCCACTTTTAATAACTTTCTTCTGTTCTTTGCATATGGGGAAGTTGGACTGACTTCCAAAAAAGTCAAACTGTTTTGTAGCTGTCATCAGAGGCCACGTAGAGGGGCAATAAGCAGCGAAGAGCTTGTAAAAATGACAAAGTAGAGCCTACATATTTATTTCCTTCTGTCTAATGCACTCTTTCTAGGAGTCAAAAGATTTTTTTTTTCCTTTTTTTTTTTTTCTCTCTTTTTTTCTAACTGTCAGCAATTGTACCTGTGCCCCAGAAGATGAAAATGAAGTCACTGGCTTCCCTTCTTTTCCAGAATTTTTACTGGCCTCATCAATGGGGATGAGTCTGGCCCCCCATGGAGGAGACAAAGTACAAATAGCAAAGGGTGCTCTGATGGTTCTTGTGCGTCGGTGTCCTCAGCAGTCACTCCTGAGACAGCCGTGGAGTTAGACCAGCGGAGGATGGCAGCARTCCCGTAGCTGGGAGTGTGCACAGCCAGCAGCCCGGGATCTGCATTGCCTCAGAGCAACTAGCAGAAGTGCCGCTCGCGGTGCTGGAGTTGAGTTTGGATTAGCAGCGAGAGCCTCCTGACCGGATAAGCATGAGCATGGAGCAGTGGGAGAAGCCTGAAGGGAGGGCAGTCACCTTGGGAAGGCCGTGACATCTCCTGTCCGTGGGCTCTTCTGTCACCAAGGCAGCCCCGAGCCTCTTTTGAGCTCCCTGTTGCCTTTGGTCATGTGTCATCCCACTGTTGTGCTATCTAACACAGTACCTGAGGCCCTGCTATACACAGCCAGCCCTGTAAATCCATAGGCGAGACCGTTGTCCCCAGACTGGCGAGTGCTGGACGCACGACTTAGCACTGCTGCTGAGGTTGATGCACGGGAGAGAGGCCATTCATTTGCAGAAGCCTGTTCTCCCTCCTCCCCTTCTCATTAACTTAGAGAATGTGCTGTCAGATGCGAGCAAAATCAATTATGGGATAAAAATCACCTGTTTCAAAAGCTTCATTTTGTGCTATTAGCAAGCAAAATTGGCTTTGAGATGGTGTTAACTTTTTTTAAACAAAAAAAAAAAAAAAAGAAAAAAGGAGAGGGGATAGATCAATTATTGGATAAGATCACAATTTTCTTTGGGACTGAGATGTCTGTAAACGTTTGAATCTGCCTGTATTACATGTAGGCTGAGATCAAAGAGGTGGTGCTGTGGTACCGATGTGATCTTATCAGCTTCTCATTGTGTTGGCTGACTGGGAGCAGGGGCAATGCCATGCAGAGTTCTTAGCCTTGTAGCAGCTGTCTGAGCAGAAGAGTAACCCCAAAACATGGCTTGTCCCTTCTGGTCAGTGCTGTGAGGCTACACGTGTGCTAGCCCTCTCCCCATTGGGACAGTCCCTCCTCTGTGATAGAATGAGGTCCTTGGTGGGCAATGTGGTCTCTAAGAGATGGACTGAGATGGTGATGAGAGTGCTGGGATCCCTCACTGGACCAGTCCCTAGGACCAGGGTTATCACTGCGAACACCCTCCAGATGGAGTTGTGGAGGCTGGGTAGGACTGGGTCTCACCAGGAACCTGCTGTCTTTGGACAGGGAAAGTTTATCTGGGGACTCCCTGTCCCAGGCTACGGCTTACCATGATGCTGTGGTTGAGCCTGGGATCACTGGGCTAGGAAGATAAAAGCAATAAAGTCCCTTTGAAGAGGCCATTACCACCAACTTGCAAGAGATTTTTTTTTTCTTTTTTTTTTTTTTGAGTGATGTGTTTGACACTCTTCTGGTCATAGATGATTCTCTGATTAATGGAGGGAGTAAAAATTTAAGAGAGAGGAATGCCTGCTCTTTGTCACCTGAATTTCTGATGTTTCTTAGGAGCCCTTTGTAATGTCCTTGGTGTGGGATTGTATTTGATGAAAATGCTCTAATCTTGTTTCTAATCTTTCAACAGACTGGTGCAACCAGTAGTGGGGGAAGAAAGGGATTGTGGTGTAAAATACCCTTATTTTCAGTGGGAGAAAAATTAAAATCATAACAAAATCTTGGTGGTTTTGATTTTTTTTTTTTAAGACTGTGATGTTTCAGAGAGGGATCCACCAGAGAGCAGAACTTGGTTTGAAATTAGTCATTTTAAATTCAAATTGGCAGCTTCTCTTTAATGTGTCGTTTCAAAACAGTAGAGAAAAACTGAAGACCTAATTAGCCTCCCTCTTAGCGTGTTTTGGGAGGGTTTGCCTGTGACAGGGACTGACTGAACTCCTCCTGGAGCCAGGAAGGTTCGAGGCAGGGTTTTAGCCAGCTGATGGACCAGGTCCTGCCCCGACAGCATGATGAGAAGCTGCCTGACCCTGCCCGAGAAGACCCCAGGGCCATGATGGTGCTGGTGGCCATGGTGGCTCTCCAGGCCAGGTACCCTTGTCGGTGCCTCCCCTCTCTCTCTCTCAGACCTTTCTAACGGGATCGGCTCTTTGTGCGCACAGGACTCGGACGTGGACTGGGACGACCTTTGGGATCAGTTTGAAGAGCGACGATACYTGAGCGCACGGAAGTGGAAGGGCGGCGAGGACCCGTACCGGCTCCATGCCTTTAACCAGCGGGAGAGCGAGAGGATCCCCAGTGACCGCGCTGTCCGCGACACGAGACATTACAGGTTCTGCCTCCTCCCCATCCCCTCCCATGGCTGTAGAGCCTTTCGCCGGTAGCGCTCCTAACCAAGGGACTAAGTTGGCCGTCCTTACAGGTATCCTTGGGGGAACCAAGACCCTGCCGTGGGGTTTTGGAGGGAAGTTTACTGGCCAGAGGCATGGCAGACTGTACGGAGTTTGGGAACATGCCTTGATGCTTTTCTTCTTCTATTTTTGAGTCCCTAATAAGATGCARGGGCTATTGATTTGAGTATATTTCCCTCAAGTGCTCTGCTAATGCCACCTTTGACTTTTAAATGAATTTCGGCAGCAGCTACCTTGCTGCTTGTTATCTTTTATTTGTATTTYCTTTGCACAGATGGGTTGGATGCGGGAGTTTTATTTTCTGTTCTGCAGGACCATTTTGTTTCTCAGTTCTCCCATGTGCTGTCTTCTTGGTTTCCCCACACCAGTGGGGGGGTTTTCACTGTGCAACTGAAAAGCAACACTTTTAAAATGAAGGCAAAGAGCTGTTTTTTCAGATGCATCCAGGAACAGCAGCTTTAAGATCAGCGTTGGATGTTGGCGATTCATGATTAAATGGTGAAAATGGTGAAAAATCTCAAGATTCATGGTGAAGCTGGGAAAGGTGGCAACAATGGTGTTTGATTCTGAGTCACAGAACTTCACTGTACAGGCAGATACTCTGCATCTCTTGAGGGCCGTTATTTTGGGATGTGAAGCAGGGCTAGACGCTTTGCCTGTGCCCTGTGGACGCGTGTGGGTGCCATCCTGACTAGATGGGAATGAGGAGTTAACAGCCAGGCTTCCTCTGAGAGCTGTGCTCAGAGTCACGGGGGRTGGTGTGCGGCACAGGGTGGCTGGTGACGTGCATGTGTGTGAGCCTGAGCTCCGGCCTGGGGCAGAGGGGACCTGGCTTGTGCTGCCGTGCGCCTTGGGAGGAAGTGCTGAAACAGGGCAGTTCTGCAGCCAGACTGCTGTGATGGTGCTGTTCTTTAGTTAAATGCTCTAAGGGCCGGATGCTCCTTTTTGTCCCAGAGAAGGGGCTGACAGACGTGGCAGACACCAGATACAGTGAGTAGAGAGTGGATGTGCTCTTATATTAGCCACCCGCCCTGCTCAAAGGGGAGGTTGACTCGGCCACCCCTGCCCACACGGCCTGTTGTGGCCCGGCAGSCCCCTCGCTCCTGCGGCGGCTCCGAGCGCCGCCCGGCGCCGAGGAGCAACTCCATTACAGAGGCAGCGAGGGCACGGCGCACGGGAGGGCCGGGGCTAATTGCATTTGCTTCCAATTTCCTTACGCCGGTAATTGGATTCTGATTTATTGAATAGGTCTGAGCGGTGCTGCGGACAATGCGCCATTAGCCGAGCATTAGAGAGGAGCGTAGGAAACGGGGCAGCTCTGCGGTACTCACAACGCTGGTGCCAAGGTTGGGATGGYGGAGGGAGGGGGATCCAGGCATGGTGGACCCTTTGCCCTTCTCCATTTTTTCCCCCCCCTTCTACTCCAGATAAGCACCTGGAATTGTCAACCGTAGCTTAACATGGACAATTTGGCAAGGTCTCAGTAGCAGGCTCCTGCCAGGAGGTCACAGAGAGGGTGTACGGTTTTGGAGGGGTGGAATATGGCGCTGGCAGCAGCTTGCTTAGCAATGTTTGGATTGATCTTTGTTTTCTAAGTTGTAGCCAGTGAATAGCTTCAGACAAAGAGGAGTCGCAGCGCTCTGAGGAACTGGAGTTGGAAAAATCTTAGCAGCTTATCTTGACTCCTCCCCCCAGGCCAGTGTTGGACTGTAAGATCATGCTCTGTTTTTCAGTGATTTTTGGCTGGAAAAATTCCACTGCTTCTGTGAGCCCCATTATGTCACCAGTACCAACTCCCAGTTAAATCATCTTTCCTGGTAGCCTGCTGGCATTTCCTTTCCTTTAGTTGCCTTCGTGGTGGAAGACTGGGTAAGCCCTTGGATAGTGTGAAGGAATGCCTGCCTGTAGGAGGGAACTGTGTAYGGTCCCATTGCCACTAAGAGTTACCAATAAAAAAAATTAATCACAGCACAAGGTTATTTTTACTGGCTGGGCCCAGATCTAATGATTTCTTGTTTAAAAGATGGGATGTCCAAGTCATTAGTGAGCAGCTCTTGCCTCTGGGCAAATGGCTGGAGTGGGTGTCTGGTCCCTCTTGGCAGCTGCAGTCACAAGCCGTTTGGGATTGCCTCACTGTCACATCCCACCTTCAGCAACTCCCACTGCCAAGAGCAGGAATCAAACAGCAGCCGGGGGTTAGCGAGTGAGTCAGTGTCACGCGTACGTGTGTGGGGAGARGAGCTGAGGTTTACAGTACTGCTCAGTGGGTTGGAAAGCTGACAAGGAGGATACGTTGCTCGAAGCCAGGAGAGTTCTGCGTGATGGCTCCTGGGCTTTTTCCATCTGCAGCAGACAGCTCCCAGGCAGTGCAGACAGTCCAGCATTCGTAAGGTGATTGCTCCATATGCTGCTCATGCCGACCTCCGCTTCCCAGAGGCTCAGTTGGTTTTAATAGATGCGCGCATGCTTTTGTGGCTTCCAGTCTTGGCTGATATCCCTAGTCTTGGCTAGAGCTAGTCTGAGCTTGGATTTTTGCTGTCTGATTGTGGAGAAGAGGATAGGTAAGATCAGGGATGAGGAGAGCAGGTGAGAGGGATTACGTGAGTAGGAGCCTCTAGCAATTACAGCATGTCTTACTGCACAAATGATGTCACCCAGCCTCAGGCATCCCCTGCTGCCTGTTTTCCTCTATTCATCTCATTTTTTTCCACTGTGAACTGTAACAGGRATTTAGTAAGACTGTCTTGAGAACTGGTAGATCAAGGAAACCGAAGATGGAGCCCTCTCAGACCTTGCTGCATAAGGCAATAATCCTCTGAACCTTCCCTCCCTGAGTCCCAAGTGTTTTACAAGAGGGTGTACATCCTTAGTTATGCTTAAATTTTACTACTTCTTGAGTAAGCATGTTTTTATACATGTCTGAGAAAAAAAGCAGCAGTAAAATCAAGTTGAAATTGAAATGAGAAGCTGGTAGGGAGCAGGTATTCCATCATCTGCTGATGTTGGGAGCATTTTGGCAGATCTGGGGCTTGTTCATGAAAACTTTTGCCTTCAAGAAGAGCTCTTCACTATTCCCTGTCTCATTCCCTCTGCTGAAAGACAGACAGGCTCTGCGACTTTCTCCTTGCTTCCTCAAATCCTCATGCAGTGCCAGATGGCGGCACTCGGGAGTGTCTGGTAGGTGGGAGAGTGCTCCAGGACTGGTGGCCCTCCTTGTAGGGCCTACGTGCTCATGGAAGGGTGTGAAGACATGAAACCTGGGAAGTTCTTTCTCACCCTTGCTGCCATAAAGGGCAGAGAGGAGGTAACGTGAATTCTCAAGGTCAGAAATTTTTAGTTTTTCAACCCTGGAGGAGAAGCACTAAACATTACAGCAGTTTTTTTTGACTTTTTTTTATTTTTTTATTTTTTTGCATGGTGCATTCGAAAAAATTCGAAAAAATTCGAAAATTCGAAAAAAAAATCTAGAAGCTACATATTCAGCACCGTGTCAAAGCAGCTTTAGCTAGAGTAGCTGAAAATATCTGAAAGATTCTGCTGTGCGTGGAGACGACTAGGAAGAATATCCTGTCTTGAGGAAGGCCTTACCTGCGTCTGGTGTGATATCTGTGTACACAGGCATGTGTGAGCTGAGCATGCATCTCTGTGCTCGTTCTGCACATGTGCCTGTGTTGTGCAAATGTGTTTGGGTAAGCTGCAAGTAGATGTGTCTGCAGATTCCATGAGGGCAGGTGCGTTGTATGAATATTTTGAAGTATTGTGGGTTTTGCCCAAGTTAATGATTGCATCCAAGGGCTAGCAAAGCAGTCAAGTGCATTGAGGATATTATAATAGCTTCTTGGAAGCAAAGAGTGAAACTGGATTTTGACCTTTGACTTAAGAGTTTTTATGATCCCCTTGGAGTTCTGCCTTCCGCCAACTTTGTTTCCCTCTGGAGTCTGCCAGACTGAAGACTCTTGCAAATGAATCAGTGAGCACTGGGTTTCAGTAACTAAAAGATCCCAATGGGGATGTACAAAATGCATTTCTGGCTTGTCTTTTTCTTGCCTGGTTTCATGAGAGTCTCTGTCTAATGCTATCTGCCAGCCCACAAGACAAACTTAATGTCTGGAGATCGGTGTGTGTGGAAATGCTCATCTCATCCCACAGATGGCTTTGCAYGCACAGTTTCTTGCTTTGCTTGCTTCAGAGTCAAAATAAAGGCTTCTGTTGTACCTTGCCACCTTGCAGACCTGGCACCTGTGGCTCTGCAGAACAGAGATGGGATTCTGCTCTGCTGCAGCATCTTCGCCAGTGAATGAGTGTTATATTTGCAGAAGAACTTAGGCACCTAAAAATATGGTCGATGCAGGATTTAGCCCTTCCAAATCGATGGTTTTGGAGCCTCAAAGCAGCAAACCAGCTAGCTCTTAACCCAGTTAATGCCTATAGTGATTTAGAGTTTTGCTGTGTTTCTTAACATTAAACACTGCGGGCCTTTTTGCAATGGCAGAGAGCATCTTGCTCCTGACAGGGTTGAGCGGCTCAGCTTTTACGTGGTGTATCATCATCTGTTTGCATCACCCGACGGTGAGTCCTGACCCGAGGAGGGAAACATGGGTCTGAATCACTTCAGGTGAATAAGAAATCAGCCTACTTGCTCCTCCTGCGCAGTGAGGAGGCATGGAGTAGAAAATACCCTTGGGACTCGAGGGAAGGTTTTCTGGGACATTACCTAAATGGTCCTTGGATAGTTGAGAGCAGAACCTAACTTAAATGTTTTCATATTGGAATGTTGTCTTTGCCATTGCTGATTCAAGAGATTTTCACTATGGCTTTTGCATTTTAGCTGAGCTAGTTCAATGCCCTGGCAATGCAGGCTAAGTCCTGAGGGCTTCTGTTATTTTTAAAATTTGCTTATTCATAGAGTGCCTTCTGAATT